GTCTCTGACAGCAGACTTTCCCAATGCAATTAGTTTTTTAATTTCCTGCTGCTGGTGCCAAGAGTGTTGACTGTGGAGCCAAGCAAACTAAAGCTGTTAACAATCTCAATCTCTTCATCTATTATGATGCTGGTAATTGGCCCAGTGGTGAGAATCTATGTTTTCTTGATAGAGAACTTCAGTCCATATTGAAGGCCTTGACTTTCTGCAGCTTACTTTTATTTTTAAACTAATGTATTTCTCCTAAACGGCTGGGAAATTTTTAGACATGTAAATTCTCAGGCCTCAAACTTACTAAAGAAGAAAATTAGGGAATGGGGGACTACTAATAAGGCTTTTTAACAAGGTCCCTAGGTAATTCTGATGGACGTGCAAGTTTCAGGTTTGATCTGGGCATCACATACTTCAACACAGGAAGCTCTGGTAGCCTAGGGGCAAGGAACTGTGTTGTCAACCCAAAGGCACACAGTTTGAATCCATGAGTGGCTCCAGGGGAAGAAGATGGAGAGCCTCCTGCATTATTGTACTCCAGTGATTTACCGCCTCTGGAAACCCCCTGGAGACTCAGCTCTGGGTTGGTTCTGATGTGACAGCCCTTAACAGTATTTACACACTCAAGTTGTGGGTATCCAGTACTTTTACCTGAAAGAGAGACCTATCTCCTCATAAATGGGAGACTTTTACAAGGGGTCAAAGAACCTGGCTTAGCCAAAGTAATGTTAATAGTATGTCTTTCTGACAAGCCAAGAAATGCTCTTCACCAATTGTAGATCACCCTCACACCTTCTACCCTGAAAAACACCTCCATAATTTCTTATTTAATTTAATTGCCTAATAAATCTCACCATTCTTCTGAGAGTAGTAATTCTTCTGAAAAAGATCAGAATGCCATGTGGGCTATCATATGTGTAACTTTTGAAAGAATTCTCATTACCTGCTGTAATTATGTCACTAGTGGTTAGGTCATTTTCATTACTGAATTCCATGTGATTTCTTTCCAAAATTTTTTATGCTATAAAAAATGAAATCAAGGGGAGCTCTGGTGGCCTAGTGGCAAGGAGCTGCAACTACAATCCCAGAGGCGAACGGTTCAAATCCACCAGATGCTCTGCTGGGGAAGGAGGGACAATCTCCTCCTGTACCAGTCAGATCTGATTTGACGGTACACGCACACAAAAATAATAAAAAAAAAAAAATGAAATCAGATTTCGCCAAGTTTAAAACTAAAATAGAATGTAGTGAATTTTAGACTTCTACAACACATTTTAACTTCATGGTATATGGAAGATACAAAATTGAAAATTTTAATTAAATCAAGTCGTATTTGTCAGTCAAGAATATTTTCTTTTGCTTGTGAAAGCATTAGTTAAATGTTTTAAAATACTTAAATCATGCAGCATGTTTTTTCCAAAACATTCATGTTTACCTGTCATTACCTTTCCCTAACTCTTGATAGTTAAGATATAAAATGGTGTACAGTATTTGTCCCAAATCTGTCTCTGGAATCTGTGTGTAATTGAGTTACACTGTCTGCCATAAAATGGGAACAGCACTTTCAGAGGTTTTGTGATCTGAGCTACCAGATTGCAGATAGATGGAGTAACTGCTGGAAATGAAGCACTGTTTTCATTCATTTCAAGATCATGTCTGAGCCCTGCAGGACCCAGGCCACCTTCGTGTTTAGCTCCTTGTAGCTTTACCTAGTCGTGGTAATGGGTACCCATGGTGGACACTGTTGGCTGGAGCTTCCTGACGAAATCAAGCCTGGAAGCAAGAGCAGCATCCACTTCCGAAATGGCTTGCTGCCGGAAACTCTATGTACGACTAGACAGGCAACAAACAACAACAGCTTTGCCTAGCAGACAGCTGTGCACGCCCTACCTGGAGGCAAATGCCACTCTTGCTTGGTGTTCTCCCTACTTGAGTTGCTGGTCTCCCCATGGATTTTCCTAGCATAAGGAATAAGATTGCCAACTTCCTTTGAGTTCATTTCTCTTTGCTATCTTGCTTTTATTTCCACTGACAGAAGCAGAGCAATTACAGTTGCAGTAAAATTTTACATCAACATCCTAAAGCATTATCTGTTTTTATATTTGAATTTCATTTTCTCCAGGAACAAACAGGAAACTAACTGCTATTGATGGAGCTTACTGATTGATTAGAATAGTTTCTTTCAGCAGTTTTTGCACTGTGGCATAAAGCTCAAGTTAGAAAAATCTCCTTTTTAAAAGGACTCGTATGTCTTTCCAAGACCGCCACTATTAAACCAAGGTTTTTAAAAAAACTGTTATGACTTCAAATCTGTACGTAGTATAAATGAAGTAATACAGATATGACATGTTTTGATCCATGCAACATTTTCAACATTTTGGTCAAAGTTTTATTACTTGGTAGTCATTAGAATTATTTATATTATCCTTTACTAAGCCCAAAATGAAATGATGAAATAACCATGGGAAACAAAAAATGTTTTGTGATAAACCTACTTTTATTATACTTTTTAAAATTGGATTTAAAAAATGCTGTTATAAATTTAAACATGTCTTTGGTATATTGCAGGGTTTATGGTTTATAGCTATATTAAGTTTAGTAAGAAAATGTTCTCAAAACTGATAGGTGTGAACAAGACAATTTTAAAGCTCTATTATCAAGATGAGTTTAAACACAAAGATAAATAAAATACACTGAAAACTGTCTTTAAACCCAGGTACTGTTGCATTCGTTTGTCTGTTGACATTGATGACACTTGATAATTGTACCCAGGGCCTAGAATTAACATTTTGGGATGCTGGATTCATTGAAAAAATGTCATTTCCAAAGTGTTGATGTCATTTCTGACCTTGAAAAAGTAAAAAGCAGTTGGAATTATTTCAGGATCCTCTTGCAGTGAGTTATTAGGAGGACCACACCAGCCTAGAAGAACCTTTTGTACATAATACCGAATGTTGAGCCACTCAGGTTTGTGTGGGTTTTTTTGTTTTTTAGCCAATCAGGTTTTCTACATGTCATGAAATGAATTAATATATTCAGTTTCAGCCACCAATGTAAGTTATAAGAGTACCACACAGCCTTGATTTGTACTTGAGCTTAAATACCTGAGATCAAGTTATATTGGCTAAGTATTGATATAATCACAACTAAAAAAGAATTAAAAAATACTTTTATAATTAACTGTTGGCCTAAGTTATTAGTTGTCTGTATTCAAAGGACAGCTACCAAGGTTCTTATTGTAGTGGTCTTATTATTGGAGTTAATGTTTATGTGTTATATTGATGGTTTGTTGATTAATAATGGTAACAGCAAAAACGTGTTAAACTCTTTAAATATACCATTCACTCTTGTAGGTGTTTTTCAGGTCTCAACTCATTGAATCCTCATAGCATCCTGATGAGGTAGGTAGATATACTTACTTTTATATATCTTTACAAATACTTTTTACTTAATGTTTTCCTTTAGTCATCCTAGTGGGCAGGAAGTGTTCTCTCACTGTGGAACTGGGCAAGGCACAGACTTACTATATGAGTCAGAGTTGACTTGATGGCACATTAACAATGACTAATAAAATTGAGCACCTTCCACATGCTTATTGGCCATTTACATATTTTCTTTGGAGAACTATTCACATACTTTCTCCATTTTTTTTTTTATTATTATTGAATGATACAAGTTCTTTATAATTCTAGAGGCCTTTTCCCTATTAAATATATAATGTACAAATATTTTCTCTTCTGGTGGGTCTTTTCATTTTCTTGATGTTTATTGAAGCACAACAGTTTTTAGTTTTTTTATGGTTTCCTTTGTTGGCTTGTGCTTTTAGTGTCCCATCTCAAAAACCACTGTCTAATCCAAGATTACAGAGATTTACTCCTACTTCCTCCTAAAATGCACTTTTAGCTTTATACTCTAATCCTAGTATTTTCTTTAGGTATGTCCAGAGATCCTCTGTCAAACAGTATAGATACAAGCAAGAATTCATGGTATCTTCACTGGCAACCAAAGAAATGGGATCAGTTTTCTACCTACAAGTTTCTGCTCTCCAGTCACTGGCCAGAAAGGACCTTATTTCTAAACCTCATGGGTGAAACAGGTGGGCTAAGTCAGTGAATATGTGCAGAACTTAGAACCTGCTCCGTTCTAAGTAATAAGCGAGACGCTGGGACACACAGGTGAGAGCTCTAAGCCTGAACAAGGCCACTAGTAGTGGAGCAGGCAGTGAGCAGCAGGAAATGGCAGGGTTACATACTGTGGGGATGGGGAGGAGTACAGTACTAAAGAAAAAGGATGTGCAGAGGCCTAGTGCTGGAGAGAGCAGTGGGCATTCTGAAAACATCGATGACTGTGAGCCTCGGGTCATCAAGGAGAGAAGTTTCTTAGATTATCACACTGAAGAGCATGAAGCTCTGAAAGAAAGATTCTTCTTGTAAGAATTTAAGAAAAAGCCTAAAGCAAGCATTTGTTAGGACCTAGGTATTGACCCTGGTACTGCAAAGGGGAGGCCTGGGCACTTTGGTCTGTGGCTTAGTCTTGATTGCTGTCAAGTTCCTCACACATACCCCATGAATAAAAGACCTGAAGCCTTTCGTCATTTCTGAGTTCATAGTTTCCTTTTTCCTGAATTCGCAATGAGCTTGAAGATACGCAGAAGAAAATGTCACAAGTTCATAAACCTCAAAAAATGTCTTCATTTTCTTAGAAATGATATAAAAATTAAGGCAGAGGAATATGAAAATAACAATCCACACCTACATACATCTTCACCATTTCTCAGAAACTTAAATTTTTTATTTTTCCTATTTCTGATACTCATATGAGTGCTAAGCAGACTTTATTCATTCCGATTAGGTATTTTCTCCCATAAACAGCAAATGATGCCAAGAAAAGTTTACTCTTGAATCAAGTATTTATGTATTTCAAGAACAATGAAAAGCTTTTAAAACAATGTTGTTTTTCTGATTTAGCTTTAGAAAGTACATTAGATATTTATTTCCAGAATCCATCCTTTACAGAGAAGACAAGAAATTTCTAAAGTCCATCCTTGGACTTTTCTGGGATTCCTGTTGACTGAGCAACAATTTTAGTTGAGAGACCTGCTTCTTCCTTTTGCTCATGCTCTTGGAAGAAGAAGAAGAAGAGAAAGTGGGTGTTGACTGTCTAGACGCGGGTGTTGACTGTCCAGACATAGGTGTTCTGAAAGGAGACATAAAAGCACACACAGTAAGAATTAAAACAAAACAAAAAACCATCATAGTTTTACAGACAAATGACAATTTAAAAATTGTTCTTCCTGTTCAGCTCACATTACTGCTACCAGAGCTGCTGCTCCTCTATATTATGGCCATATATGCACAGTGATGGTACTGGCTGTATGTAACATATAGGAGGTTCTAACATACAAGGGACCTCTAGTGGCATAGTCCATAGGGAGTCTTGCTGCCAACCCAAAGGCCAAGCCTCTACCAGTGTGAATCCACTAGCTGATCCACAGAAGATGGTTAATCTCTTCTTATGCAATTTACAGCCTAGGAAAACTCACTGGAGGGTCAGCCTGGAGTTGATGATGATTACTCTGTAATCACTTTGAGCCCTAGTTTGAATAGACCATACAGGAATCACATGAGACATAGGCCATCTCCTACCACGCAGCTGACAGCCTCAGAATCCCAATGGACCTGTGAGTAGGTTCCTCCCCAGTGTCAATGAATGAGTGAGTAAACACACATGAAAGCAGCTCTGGTGGTGTAGCGAACAGCATGTTACACTAACAAAGGTCAGGGGTTTGAATCCACTAGCCACTCTGAGGAGACAGTCTCCTTTAAGATTTATAGCTTGAGAAACCCAGTGGAGGTTCAGTGTGAGTTGGAGTTGACTCAAAGGCAGTGACTTCTGGCTTGGGTTGGTTGGTTTTGCACACACAAAAAGGCTGGTGGCAGATGGAGTATTATCAGGTCTGAGTTCCATTTAAATGTGACAAGTCTGGGCAAGAACTTTAAAAAACATAACTGTTCTTTCTTCACAGGTCAAGACCGCTTCCGTTCTTAAAAGTGAAGGATTTCAATCCACATACACGTGTAGGTACAATTTATTGGATCTTCCTCATTATAATGTTTCATAAAATGCAGAAGCTTGGGGAGCTCTGGTGGCCTAGTGGCAAGAAGCTGCACTGCAATCCCAGAGGTGCACGGTTCAAATCCACCAGATGCTCTGCCGGGAAAGGAGGGACAATCTCCTCCTGTACCAGTCAGATCCGATTTGACGGTACACACGCACACACACACACACACACACACACACACAATAATAAAGTAATAATAATAAAAAAAAATTTGAAAAAAATGCAGAAGCTTTACACTTCTAATTGTATATTCTGAGCTTAGAACATGCCAGAGAAACTCTGAATAAACATCTGTTGAATAAGTCATTCTCCATCTGATGTTTATTTGTGCCTCTACAGTTGCTTCATCTCTCCACCTAGGTTTCATCCTTCCTGATCCTTTTCTTAGGGTTTATCAGTCTGTCCATTCTCCCAACTTCCTATCTATGGTAAAATGTTTTTCTATTGCTCCATATATCTAAGAAGCTGTATGGTCTAACTGCAGTGGAATTATTTTTAATTAAACTGAATGGTCTGCATCTGTCAGCTGCTCTGTAGGAAGCAGGCAACTGTAATAATTTACAGCCTTGGAAACTTGAAGGGGGCCTGTGTGAGCTACAGGTGACTTAGAAGCTGTAGATCTCTTTGAAAGATAATGAAATATAAACCAGATTATCTTTAATCTGTATTTATCTAACAAACTAGAAACATCTATATATTCTTATGAAACTAAATATAAAAATAATTACCTCAGTATAGAGAAACTAGATTTGAATATTTAATGGTATCCAGTTTTATAAATTTCAACTCAGTATAATCAGAGATAATCCAGTCCTTGCTTAATTTCATTTACTTATGTTCAAGAGACTATCCGATGCAGTTTCTCTTTTGTTAACAACTTTTCAAAAATTCCTTTTAGTTTCTATGCAATTAAATATAACATTTACTGACGACTATACTGAGTTAGTACTGAAGATTAGTGTTTCATTTCTTAAACTCCTAATCAATTAGATTTCTAGTTTATGGCAGATGAAAGAGCAGGAGTAAAAGTTTACAACACAAAAGTATATTGTGAGTGGTTCAGCTTGCCTGGTATATTAGGACAGATTAAAGCAAAACGACTGCAAGCAGAGCTGGTGCTAGATAATAAGGCTAGAAAGCTATGCCGGGCACTTTGTCCATTTGCTGTAATTTTATTACAAAAGCCTCAGATTAGAGGCAGCGAGTAAAGTCCCGAGACAGAACAGCACTAGGGAGAAATGATGCAAACTCTAAGGTAGAAATTGGCAGCAGCCTGGATAAGGACCAAAGGAGTAAGAGTTGCCAAAAGTAGCTGTCATTTTAGACCTGACTACAGAAGGGGTTGTTCCATACAGAACAAAGAATTTGAACAAGAGAGGATGAGCAGATTTGAGTAATTAGCTGTGAGGACAAAGTGAACTCTTGGATGTAGAGGGGAGCTGAGGTGGTTATATATAGCAGGCAGCTGAGAACTGGTCCAGAGGTTTGAAGTAATGAATATACCTGCAAGTCATAGGCTTTGAGGTGAGAATTAGAAAACATTGAAATTTATGACAAAGAAAAGAGTATGGATGCGAGGGAAAGCCCAAGGCTGTCTCTCGGTGCATTTAAAGACTGTATCAAACAGGAGGGAGCTCTGGTGGCCTCCTAGTAAGAAGCTGTGCTGCAATTCCAGAGGCACGCAGGTCACATCCACCAGCTGTGCTTTAAGGGAGGACGAGCAATCTCTCCTGCTATTTAGAGCCTCTGAAAACCAACTTGGGTGTGGGAGGAGCAGCTGTAAGTTAGTACTGACTCTGTGTGCATAATAGCAAAATATAAATGAGAAGAAATAACCTAAGAGTTAACATTGGCCATTAAATAAAATCAGTGAATGAAGGTACCTGAAAATCAATGATGGACTCTTCCCTGTGGAACTGAACCTCTCATGGTTTGAGTTTGCAGAACTTGGAGTCTTTCTCTGGGGTGTCTTCAGGGAAGACTGAGGAGTGCTAGGATTGCTTGTCGATGATAGAAAGCGTCTACTTTTACCACAATGTTTCACTGTCCTGTTGCATGTTTTACAAGTAACCAACTGCCAAAAAGAGAGGAGGTATCAGGCTTGTGGGTTATAATTCAATAAAGCACATATTTAGGGCATTCACTTATTTATGGACATAAAAGACCAGAACAGTGATACAGAAGCTGCTCTTGGGGAGTTTATAATCTAGCAGAAGGAATTAGAACACATTTTAAAATTATAAAATCAAGGAAGTAGAACGTTTTTAAAATTCCAAAATGACCTGTAAATTATTAATGGCTAAAGATGTATATTAAACTTTTTAAAAGATAAACTTAACTCTTTCAATGTAAAAACATGCTTGAGCAAATGGAGAAGAAATTGGAGATGATTTAATTGAAAACTGTTTGCTTACGCCACTCACCAGATGAATCTCAAGACTTTTGAGTTTAAAAATTACTGAAAATTTAACTGAGCCTCCTCCCTTCTTCATGTCTGTTATTAGCTCTAGAGGGTAATGTTCTTTTCAAGATTAAGAAATGGTCTACTTTCTAGCTACATGCTTCCCTTTTACAAACCTAACTCACAATACACAGGATTTAGCCCATGTTTCAGTAAATTACACATTGCTTTAGGTGAGAACTGCCCTGGTATTCATAAAAAGGCATATATGCATGTATCAAAGCTTACCTCTAAGTTGCTTTCCATTTTTCTTTTTAAGCTTCTGTATAGCAAAATAAACACACCACCCCCTTTTAGCTGATTTCTGATTAAAATACATGACATGTAAGTCTGTGAGGTCAGGAACTTGCAAGACAGTGACGCTTAGCATCAGGCCAGGAAGATGCTAGTAGGCAGCCTTCCTATGACCCAACTCAGTCCACAGCATGAACCTGCGTTGTGACATTCTCCTCTACCTTGCACTATTTTCCTCCACCTCCCCCCAACAGGAGTACTTCAGACATCAAACTTTCAGGAAGTTCCCCTTTATGAGTAACCATTTCGCCTACCTGAAGGGATCAAATAAGCCATTAGGATATCCATATACAGCTGGAGATGGCATGTGTAAATTGTGTCCTTACTTTAACTACTTCCTGTCTATACTGAGGCCAGGGCAAAGCCAGGTAAAGAATGCTTGCTGGATCTTACCAACAGTCAGTTAAAAGGCAAACATGAACACAGCAATGACATTTTCTAACAACTGTCTGGTTTGTTAAAACAGCATTTCTTAAAAAAACAAAAAACAAAAAAACAGCATTTCTTCCCCTTTCATTTAAAAACATTTCCTGGGTATGTAGCTATGATTTTTTTTTTTTAAACTACAGTTGTTCCTGGAGGAAGAAAGTTGACTTCTACTCATATGAACATTCTTCTTTTCTCCTTTAAAGTCAGTTTTATGACAAAACCAAAGGTGGGCACTTGTGCAATGTTGGTAAATCCTTAAATGTGTCCCTCAATCTCACTTATTACTGACTGTAGTTATGAGCCAGACATAAACGGCCATAATACCTATTGTCTAGCACAGTGCCTGGCAGTGAGTGGGCACCTGACTATATGATGAATACCTGACACTGCCCATGTAGGACATAAAATGTATCCACAGCAGTTACTTGATTTTGGTTCTTTTATTCCATTTTATATCCCCAGTACTTAACATTACCTGGCATATGACAAATCCACAGATCTTTAGTGAAGGAACACCTGATGCACTCATGATTACTGAACTCAAAACACACATTCAGACACAGAGGGAGAAACAATGACAAAGCAGAACTTTAAAGAAAAAGGCCATTAATTCAAAGCAATGTAGCGACTAACTGCAATTCAGGTAAAACCATACCTGTAAGCTCAAGAAAGAGTAATTCATTCATCAAATCTGTTGCAATAATTGTGTTAAAATATAACTATTCAATATGAGATCTGGGAACAACTCTGAGCATTCCAAACTGGTTTATATTATCATGAAAAAGAAAAATAAGCTTTGTTCTTGATGACAGTAATCAGTAGAAAGATTTTTTGGGTTTTTTTTCCCCCCTAAACTTACGTATATTTTTATAGGGAGTCCTGGTGAGGAAGTCCATAAAGAGTTCTGCTGCTGACCCAAAAGCTGAGTCATTCTAGTAATTAAAATCCACCAGGTAAGGATGACAGCTGACTAAGCCATCCTCTGTGATTTATAGCCTTGGAAACCCAGTGGAGAGTTATGAGTCAAGGCTGACAACAGCAATCAGAGCATCTATTCTGAGGACCATAGAACTGGAACTGACCCATAGTTAACCCTCCAATGAGTTTTCAGGGGCTGCCCATCCTTTCATGGAGCAGCTGGTGGATTTGAACCACATGCCTTTGGGACTGGAGTGGCTACCAGACCTCCCTTGAGAGCATGTATTTCGATAACTGAAAGAGACTACTGCAAATCTCTAAGTTATATTCAGAATAGTTTTTAACCAATGTTAAGAAAATGGAAGGCAAATTCTATTTACACATAATATTGGAACCAAATTCTTACCAATACACTACTGGAGTCTCTGTACTTTTTCACGAGTTTTGCTTCTTTAAAAGTTAGCGTATAACCTTTTGCTTCTCGATTAAGAAGTCTCTGTATTTGGGGTGTCATTTTGAGCTTGGGTTTGAGACGCACTCTAGAGTTATCCAACATCAGCAACTGGAAACAGTGGGGACATGTTTCTTCAGAAGTGTTCTTAGTATCTAAAATTATACAAGTGAGACTTAGGATTCAGAAAATCAGGGTCTATTCTTACTGCAAACTTTGTACTATGTGTAAAAAAAGAAAAAGTATCTTGATAGTTAATATGAGCAGACAGACATTTTAAAGCAAAGTAAAAATAGGAGAATTAACAGAATTTGGTAACAATTTTACATCGCAAAATGGCATTTACTCTTTTTCAGCAACAGATAGGCAAGGCCCACCCTTTGGTGCTGTGTGAAAAAGGCTGTCTCACCAATTTTACAAACTCACTGATCACCAAGTAACAAATGATGCTGTCAGATAATTTTGAGATTTAGCCTGGTGGTTTTGTAGTTTGTGGGCTGGGCTCTGCCTGCATGTCACACAGGACAAATGACTTCCCACAGGCTTTGAAGCAATCAAGGACACATCTACTAGCCATCTATCATGCTAGCCTGTGAAGGTACAATGATGTGAACTCTGTCTCAGGAGCTCACATAATGGAACTAACAAATAATAGAAGGAAACAAAAGCAAATGAAAATAAAACAGAAACTTAAAAAACAGTGCATGGAATAGCCAGAAACATTTTAGAGAGAAGCCTGGACAAAAGCAGTCATAGAAGAGAATAAATGGTATTTGAAAATGGCATTTGTAAAAATAAAAAAAAAGAAAATGGCATTTGTTAATTGGTACAGGGCTTTTGGAAAGAAATGCAGTGGAAAAGGAGGGGAAGATGTGGGCCTGGCGGTGATGTGACTTCAACTGAAGGAATCAGCCACCTACTTATTTACATTTTTACATGGCATCTAGGAAGCACTTAAGATACAGCTCTAACGAAACATAACCAAAAAGAGCTTAGAACCGTGTCCATGCTCATACCTTCACTCTGCCAAAAGTAAAATTCATTTATTTTACTGGGTAAAGGCTGCAACATGCAAACGCCATGGAGGGGGCAGTAGTATTCTGTCACACAGGGTTGCTGTGGGTCAACCACTCAGCAGCACCCAACATGTGTCAAGACACTGTACTAACGACAGAGGGACAGGAAATAGCGATGAAGGTGCATGAATGGAAAACAGGGTGGCGAGGTTTCTTTGACTAGAAACTTGCAAAGAAATCAGGAGAAAGAGAGGAAGGAATGTGAGCAGATAATGTGACAAGACTTCCAGGCAGAATGGAGAAGCAGCTGGAACCTCAAACATCAGCGATGAGGCCGGGGTGACGGGGGGAGAGGGAAGCCAGGAGGGGCCAGGCCGCCATGCGCTCCGGAGGCCCGGGACGAAGGGGCTTTTCCCGAGATGGGAAGTCATCTGAGAGTTTGCAGCAAAGAAGTGACATAATCTAGCTTCTGTTTTTATCCAGATTAAGAACCGTCTTTAGAAATGCTTGGAGGCTGCTGCAATCATCCAGACGAAGTAGGGAGAGCCAGATTCGTGGCAAATCGCTAGGTTGCGGGGATATTTAGACGCCACTGCGAGGTTTGTATGAGGGAAGTGTATCAATCGGGTTTCTCTTTCAGGTCATTCGGAGGACCTTGCTGAATGGAGGGGGGCGAGCGGGTGTCCTCCCTACCGTCTGACAAACTGTAGGTCCAGCTGCAAGAGAATGAGACTCATGAGGGGACAAAGGAACGCCTCGCCGCCGCCCGCTTCGCCTCCCTGCCTTCTCTTACAGGAGAGCCCGCCGCCCGCCCGCCGCCCGCTTCGCTTCCCTGCCATCTCTTACAGGAGATAACGGGCCTGGCTCGGGCAGCTGGCTTGGAGTTTCCGCGCCGCAGCCTCTAGGTAGCGTCTCTGCCCCATAGTCGTCAATGGGACCCGGACACGCCGGAAGTATGCTTGTTAGCGTGGTCGCTTTGATTCCGGCTTCCCTTTGGAAACACGCACCACCGGTGAAGAGGTTCCGGCGTCTTTCGCGGCCCACATTGCACGTGGGCGTGGTCTCTGCCCCGCCTCTTCGGCCTCGGCCCCACCCTCCCCTTGGATTGTCTGGGCGTAGTTCTTGCATTAGTACGTGGGCGTGGACGGAGGGAGCTTGATCTGGTAGAAGTGTTAAAAGTCAGGGGCTGAGTGTCCTGCTCGCTCTCCTATCTACTTGTCAACGCTTCAGCCCCGGTTGCAATTCCTCACAGCCACTTCTTCCTTTAGGTAGTTGCCGTTAAGTGCTGTAGAGGCCAGTACTGCTCAGCCACCCTATGAACAACAGAGATGAACCCTGTCCGGTCCTGTACCTTCCTCACCATCTCTGGTACACCCATTGCTGTGGTCAGTGTGTCAGTCCGTCTCATTGAGTCTTCCTCTCTTCTGCCTACCCTTCCACCTTTCCAAGCATGATGTCTTTTCTAGCAACATGCCCAAAGTATGAAAAAGTTTGGCCATCCTTGCCTCTGTGGTGCACTCTGGCTGCACTTTTTTTTTTTTGTTTGGGTTTTTTGTTGTTGTTGAGTTTTTGTTATGGTTTTGATTTTGTTTTTTTTCAGGGAGAGGGCGGTAAACTCTCCTTTATTATCAGTAAAGCAATTTATCCTCTTCTATGTACAAAGCATTTAATACCCATTATCATATTTAAGCCTCACAGCAACAGTGTGAATTAGTAGTGTTTCCATTTTACAGATGAAAATACTGAGGCTTTGGGGGGAATATCATACAACCAGTAAGAAGACAGTAGAGGCCACACTCAAACCCAGAACAGCCTCCAAATCAGATGCTTTTTTTGCGCAATTCTATCATATTCAAGTTAGACTTATCACAGAATGCGAAAGTTGACAGGGAGCTTAGAGATGGAGTCTAGGCCTTTCAATTATAGGTGCCTAGCTAGAATGTAACAGTGGTGGAATCACATCCATGGTTTTCTTTTCTTTCTTTCTTTTTTTTTTTTTATAATCTATGCAGTATACAGTGCTCTTGTCCAACACCATAGCTCAAAGGCATAAATTCTTCTGTTATCCTTATTCATTTTCCAGCTCTCAGATGCGTAACAAGTAATTGAAAAGACCATAGCCTTGATCAGGCACACCTTAGTCCTCAAGCTGACCTCATTACTGACAGCTGAAGTCCCTGTCAGAACACTTGCTCATTGCAGTAAATTTCCTGATCTCCTGACTGCTTGTACCAACGGTGTTGTTAATTGTAGATCCAAGTAAGATGAAGTTGTTGACAATTTCAATTTCTCCATTTATCATGATGTTTCTTATCAGTTTAGTGATGAGGATTTTTTACTTTTTGGTGTTGAGATCCAATCCATATTGAACTCTATAGTCTTTGTTCCTGAGGTGTTAACAAAACCCTCTTCACTCTCAGCAAGTAAGGTTGTGTGTCCTTAGTGTGAAGCAGTCTTCCTGTGATCCTGATGCCACATTCCTCTTCATCGAGTCCAGTTTTTCAAATGCTTTGCTCAGTGTACAGATTGAATAGGTGTGGAGAAATATATGTAGATTAGAAGGCAGAGAAGGACATCATGCTTGGAAGGGTGGAGGGACATCACAGAGAGGAAGACCCATGATGGGATGGATTGACTCAATGACTGGAGCAATGGGATTAGGTCTGTCGGAGACTGAGATTGGCTGAGGAGAGGTCGGGGTTCCCAGCTATTGGTGGCTGGAGGACATATAACAACAACAACAACAACAACAACAGGACATGCGTGGGGTGGGGCCGTTGGCCACAGCGTAGCAGGTCTTCCAGGAAGGAAAGGGTCATTCCAGACCCACAGTATGGCAACAGAGGGCTTATTCTCTTTTTAAAAAGTTAAATTCTCTTAACAAGGAACTCCGGTGGCATAGTCCGTAGGTAGTTGCACTGCCAACCCACAGGTGGCGCCGAGCTGGAGGTTCGAATCCAGCTGCACCGCTTCGGGAGAAAAAGTGCAGTCTTCTCTCACTTTATGGTCTCTGAAAGCCCGCTGGAGGGTCAGCTTCGATCGATTCCTACTCGGCGGTAATGAGTCAATCCTGAGTCTCATAACGTAAAATTGTTGTTGTTGTTGAAGTTATGTGCCCTCGAATCGTTTGTAACTCATAGTTATGTACAACAGCCTTGAAACCTGCTCTATCCTGAGCCAATCTTACTGTCTCTGACACACCTACCCCCATTACCCCAGTTACTGTATCAATCCATCTCATCAAGGGTCTTCCTCTCTTGCGCTGTCCCCTCCACACTCCCAAGCATGACGTCCCTCTCCAAGGACTCATCCCTCCTTGCAACATGTCCAAAGTATGTCAGACGAAGCTTCAGAATCCTTGACTCCAAGGAGCAGCCTGGCTTCACTCTCTCCAGGATGAACCTGTTTGTTCTCCTGGCATTCCCTGGTATATTCAATACTCTTCTCCAGCACCACAGCTCAAAGGCATCAATCCCCCTTCTATCATCCCTAGTCATTGCCCAGCTCTCTGGTGCATAGGACATAATTGTGAAGAATATAGCCCAGATCAGGCACACCTTAGTCTCCAGCCTGACCTTGTTGTTCTTCAGTACTCTGGAGAGGTCCCTGGCAGCTGACTTTCCAAATGCAATTTGTCTCTTGATTTCCTGGCTGCTGGAAAGAGGGTTGACTGTGGAGCCAAGGAAACGAAAACTGTTAACTATCTTAATCTCTTCACTATCCATACTGATGCTCCCAATCGGCCCAGTGGTGAGAATCTTTTTTTTCTTGATGTTGACCTTCAATCTGTATTGAAGGCTGCAGTGCTTGACCTTCTGCAGCAAAGCTATTTTTTTTTTTTAATTGCACAACATTGGGCAACCACCATCTCTCACTTCCAAGATATTTCATCATTTCCTATGGAAATCTTCACCTTTTAAGGACTAGTAGTGACCCTGTGAAGAACAGTTCGGAACTCGTTCTATCCTGCACCATGCTCACACTTCCTGACACACTGGAGCCCAATGCAGCAGTCACCACCCCAATCTACCTGGTTGAGGGCCTTCCTCTCCTTTGCCAACCGACCCTCTACCCCTTTCCAGCGTCATGTCCTTCTCCAAGGAATAGCCCCTCCCAGCAACATGCCTGAAGAATGTATTAGATGAAGCCTCATAATTCTTGGCTCCAAAGAGCACTCCAGCGGCACCTTCTCCAAGACATTTGTTTGTTCTTTTATGTGTATGTATATACATATGTCCCTCTCTCTATACACACGTGTGTGTATACACACCCATGTATTTATGGAACTGAATGAGGAGACCATCACAATGGTGCAGAATAGGGCAAGGCTGGAACCTGTTGTTTACAGAGTCATTATGAGTTGTTGTCTACTGCAGGACACCTAACGTGTTAATTCAAGTTTAACTTTGAGGACCTATCAAACTATCTTCCACAGCTGCTGCATCATTTTCATATCCATACCAACAATGGATGAGGATTCCAGCTTTTCCACATCCTCCCCTATACTTCTTATTTTGCATTTTTAAAATTACAGTCATCCTAGTGGGTGTGAAGTGGAATATCTTGTGACTTTGATTTGCATTTTGCTTATGACTAGCGATGCAGAGCATATTTTCATGTGCTTGATGGCCATTTGCATATCTCTGAAGAAATGTCTATTCAAGTCCTTTGCCCATTTTAAAACTGGATTGTCAAGTCTTTTAAAAATAGAATTTCATTTATTTTTGTTGTTGTTGCTAAGCATTTACACGGCAGAACAATCACCAATTCAGCGGTTTCTGCATGTACAATTCAGGGACATTACTTACAGTCTTCAAGTTGTGCGATCTTTGTCACTCGCCTTTTCTGAGTGATTTTTTTCCCCCATTAACAAAACCTCAGTGTCCCCTCAATTCCTGTCTAATCTTTCAACTTCTCTTGTCAGTTTGATCCCACACAGGTAGATCTCAAAGAGCAGAACACAATGCTCAGTTTAGATATTCTTTACTAGTTGAGGTAAACTATTGATTTGTTTTAAGAAGAGTTCAGAAGTTTTTTTAAGTTTAAAGATTATCTCAGGGTAATAGTTTTAAGAGTTTATTCAACTTCCTTGGCTCTAGAAAAGACTGGACATTGTGATATTTTGAAATTCTATTCTTTATTTGTGTCTTTGCTAGGTTTTAAGGAGGACAGAAGAGGAACCAATGCCCTTGAGTTGTGGTGTTAGAGAAGAGTATTGAATATCCCATGGGCTGACAGGTTTGCCCTAGAGAAAGTGAAACCAGTATGCTCCTTTAAGGCAAGGATGGGGAAACTTTGTCTCACATAATTTGAGCATGTTGTAAGGAGGGGTCAGTCCTCAGAGAAGAACATTATGCTTGGGAAGGTGGAGGATTGGCATAGAAAAGGAAGATCCTCAATGAGATGGATTGACACAATGACTAACCATGGGCTCAAATGTATTGGAGATAGTGAGGATGGCACAGGACTGGGGAAGGGTTAGAGCTGTGATTCATTGAGTTGCTGAGTAGTCGTTGACTCTATGGCACCTAACAACAGCAAGAACGTCTTTGACAAAAGATACTCTTCTATTGAATCTTTGATCAAAGTATTCAGTAGTGACAACCAAGCACCATTCACAACAGAATAGACAGTTGTTCACAAAGGCAGTTACCCAAACATTCATATCTTCATCTTTTTCTGACTCTCTTTTCTCCTCTGTTGCTCCAAGCAAATAGAGACGAATTGTTATACCTTGGGTAGCTCCTTTTAAGATCCCTAGACACGACTCAATGAACTCTGAGACAGAATAAAAGCATTAAACACTAAACATAAGCAGTCTCAGCAGCCACTTTGTTGTTGTTATTGTAATATAGACCTTTGCCAATTCAACTCTTTTACATATGTGCTACTTATTGACAGCAGTACATTAATCGACTGTGTA